TTTGTAAGATATATTAGATATTAAATAATACATTCTCTAATTATTTTTTCTTGATAGAGGTCTTTATAATCTTATTTGATTTTTCATAGATACAAGCCTCTATGGTTAATTATTCTCTAAAATATGAGAGGAAATTTTTGATTAAGGCTATTTTATATGTTCCTCAATTCTTTGTTTTATTAGCAACAAGTTATATTAGGAGAAAAATATACTGCTATTGGCTGAAATTAGATGGTGGGCGAATTATCATAAATCTAATTATGGTCGCATGGTTCTGTTATCACGTGTTGTTAGGATTTTGGTCTGCCTGATTAGCAGTAGGGATATGTGGCCCAGCTTAACCAAGTGATTTTTTTTAGCCACTTTGGGTTATGTCATCTAAGAGGACCCTTACTACAATTAAACACATAATTTAAGGAGGAAAAATTCATTGAATATTTAGTAATATTTGCTGGAAAACTAATTTTTTGATGGAAATTCACACACAAAAAAAAATTACTTTCTAAGCTGATTTTGAGAAGGCTTTTGTTTATTATGATTGGAGAATTATCTTCTATGTTCTTAAGAAAATATTTTTGATAAAAAATTATCGATTGGGTTGAAGAATCCATCATTCATTCTAATTCTTCAATCATCAATGGGTAAGTTAACAAACAATTTAAATTCATAGTGGCCTCCAATCAAGGTGATCCTCTTTCTACCATGCTCTTTTTGGTGACGTGCTTGGTAGAATGTTGACTGTTGCTGCTATCAAGGGTTCGATTGATGGCATTGACTACAGAAATAGTTCTAAATAGTCTTTTTAACATTCAATTTGCAGATGATATCTTTATTTGCAGGTCTTTAACTCTTTATTGATCAAGTCATGAATCATAAGAATATTTGCAGATCTTCAAATTTGTGTCTACCTTGGGATGCCAATCAATAAGGGTGGAATGTTAGCAAACTTGCTTTCATATACTTTGATAATTCTCTTGGCTATATAACTATTCAAACGGCTCAACGGTTGTCCCCTATTTAAAGAGTTAAAAGCAAAAGTTAGCTTGTTGGAAAGGAAATTATCTTTCTCGAGGAGGTGATGTAGACAAAGGGGGGGGTCAACTTATGTCAAAAATAATTAGATTTTTGGCTTCCCTTGAGTCTACTAGCTCAATCAAAATTGAGCTGAAATTTTAGCTCATTTATGAGTTGGTCTTTAGTTCACTTATTGAACTAAGGGGTAGCTCATTATTAGCTATGATTTTAGCTCATAGTTATCTTATATTAAATGTTCTTTTTATGCTTTTTATGTTAGTAATCATGTTTGTCTCTTGGAATTCCAAACCGGCCTTGGGAATTCCAAGATTTTCTTTTCCCATGTGGTGGCTCCTTGGCTACCTCCATGGCCTTTAGTATTTTGTGCATTTGCCCCCTTGGATTCCGGTCGGCTGCTGGTTTTTCCCTTGCCTGGGCTCTTTCCCGTGACCGTGCCCCTTGGTTTTGGGCGATGTCCTTGGTTCCCGTGGATGTCTCTTCGGTTCCTTGGCCTGGGATGTTTTTTAGGTATTTTAATGCTATGTGATGTTTAGAATTCATATGGAATTTATTAGGCGTCTCTTGGTATTCCTCTTTCATACCTATAAATATGGGAGGATTTGTAATGTTTTAAAAAAATTGAATGATATGTTATTTTTGGTAAAGCTATAACCTG